TGCCATTTTGTGGAGAGCAGGATCGGAGATTGGGAAAGAACCGATCTTGATTTCCGGTTGTGCCAATCTTTGTTCGGGTTCGGCCCTAACGGTCACGGACTTAGAACGCCGAATCGTCCGGGCTGCCGGGCCGTCCTCGCGTTGGCTCACCGGAATCGGTTTCCTAGGCTTCGCCGTGACTCGTTTGAATCGTTGGGTTGGCTTCATTACAACTTCCAAGGGAAAGTAGGGAGAAAAGGTTGTGGAACAGATCGGCCTTTTGGTTTTGGCGGGTAATGTTTCCATCGATGGAATGGAACACTCAGTGTGTCGGATTTTAGTTGATATTGGGTTAATTATAAGCGTGGTATATAGAATTTAAAGGAAAGTTTGATTAGGTCCTTAACCTTTTCTATCCTTTTTCTGCAAATATGAAGAGCATTTTAGTCTACAACAACAATAAAGCTTCCTACATGATCATGTCATTGTCATAAATGAAAAGGTCCCTAAGAGATTCACAGTGATTAAGGATTTGAGTTTATATGTTAAGAGTTTCAAATTTGAATTTTAAAATAAGTGGGGAAGAGTTTAAGAAAAAAATGATTTGAGCTATTAAGAGTGTTGTAAAAGTCACAATTAGTTGGTTGATTAATCATGACTAAGTGAATGTTGGTGGGGTATTGCACCACCTAACCCACTTTTCTATTCAATTTGGCAATGCACGGTTGGCTAAGACCAATTATCTTTTATTAGATTTACAATATAAACAAAGTTATACAAAAAACTTCTTGAAATGACCTCAATGAGCCTCTTTGTTGAAGTTGCAACTAAAATAGTAATGGGACGCACCTTCATGCACTAGAGCTTCAAAGGTGACCCACCAAGAATATCAAACCTTGATGCCAAAGGTTGAAGAAGGGTCGTATCACTTAAATAAAACAATGCATTTTGACTTCCCTCCCTTTTCTTTAGCATTTTAGTCTTTCAAATTCAATAAAATGTGTAGTATAATCTATAAAATTTCAATTTTGTGTAATTTTTGTTTTCTTTTTAAAAATATTTTTTTTTGACATTTTGATTTTTTAAAATAAAAAATAAAAAATGCAAAACACCCAATCTCAAACGATCGTGTTTAGATGGTGCTCTACAACCTTGCCTATTATACAACCCATTATTAGATGCACAAAAAGAAATAGAATTATTGAAAATGCATATGGCAGAACCCTCAAATCACCCCCTGACAAATATGGGTAGGGACGGATCCACCCCTCAAAAAAAAGCAGGGACAAATGACACCCCAAAAGTATCGATCTTCCCAAATCGATCATTATCTAACGGGTGACGTCATCACCGTCACGATCTCCGTTTAGCCCGTGCCAGCGTGTCATTTTTTTACACGCTGGATGCTGATGTGTACCAATTCCGCTCTTCAGGAAAAAAATGGGGAAATTACTTTGTGATTCAACAACCATTGCGGAGACTTTTCAAACTTCATCACCGACCGTGTCATGGAGGGAACCACAGTCATCCGATTTAGAGGCCGTGGATCTCGTTGACCAGACAGAGGTAACAACTATCGCGGCGGCAACGTGGGACAATGTGGTTGGGCTCGAGGATCAGCAGAGACGGCACCTACAGAAGCTCCATGCCAAGGGAGTTCTCTGGAAGCAACCCAGGGATCACGGCTCCGCGGTCGTGTTCCGGCTGTCGCATGGAGGTGAGGTTTCGCCGGATGGGAACTGCCTATTCACCGCGTCGCAGAGGGCTATGGCTCGTGAGATTGATGCGCGGGAACTCCGGAGGCGGGCGGTGAAGCTGTTCGTGGAGGACCATGGATCTGTTATCGAGGATGAGAGAGAGTCGATAAACAAGGTAATTAGGCATATGTACTCGCCGGATCTGAGGAGCTGATGGCGTGTTCATGTGGTTCAAGAGGTTAAGTTGTTGGCCAAGAAGGAGGATCGCGTAGCCTTGGACTCGGCCATTGACGAACTCGTTCAGCTAGGAATGCAGAGGTAATTTTTTTTAGATCATAACTTTCTTGGATCTGCGCATTTGATTATGGGTCAAGGGTTATGGTATAGCACCTGCAGTGCTTGAAGCTGCAGCTGCAGCTGATGATGTGCTAGCTCCAGCGGCTGGTCTCCTACGCATCCTACGAGCACCAATGGCGCCAACCACAGCTTCCCTCATTGGAACCTGAAACCGACACCAGGGAATAAGAAACAAACAAAAAGCCCAGAATTTGCTCATCTGGGAAACCTTCAAACATTGAATAAATGCGCAAATTTCATGAAATAGAAAAAGGGGGAAAGAAATGGACCTGACGGTCTTCTTCGTGTTCCTGAGGTGATCCCGAATCCTGCCGGCGTTTCCATAGATACAACGGAATCAAAGCAACAACAAGAAGCATAGACAGAATCACGGCAACTAATTCCTCCATTTTTAAAATTTGGCAGTACAGAAGATGATCGGAGCAGGTGAAATGAATTACAGGGTTAGGGATTTGGACTTGGGCGGGGACCTAACTGCAAATTGGGAACCCCATGTTAGTGTTCAGGGATTTGGAGATCGTGACGGAATTGGTACACATCAGCATCCAGCGTGTAAAAAAATGACACGCTGGCACGGGCTAAACGGAGATCGTGACGGTGATGACGTCACCCGTTAGATAATGATCGATTTGGGAAGATCGATACTTTTGGGGTGTCATTTGTCCCTGCTTTTTTTTGAGGGGTGGATCCGTCCCTACCCATATTTGTCAGGGGGTGATTTGAGGGTTCTGCCAATGCATATTACACTAAAGATATAAAACCTAAGCCCTAGTTGACAATATTATGAATAAGTCCCTAAATTATACAACTTAAAATTTATATATCTAATTAAAATCGTCTTCAAAGATTAAGGACATCTAGAATTAAGTTTTATCAACATTGAAAGCCTGAAACCCTAGAAGCGAAGAACGTGCTTTTCTAGAATCTTCCAAGACGTAAACATTACTGTCCCAATTCCACGGGGACTGTTCACGATCTAGAGTCTTCCAATCCAGGAAACCTCCAGAGTCCTCACTTTTTTCTCCCGCTGCTCTTTATTTTTCTGTCGCACATTCAGCTTGACACTAACCCCATCTCTGAAATCAACAATCTTGCAATCTCCTTAGTCTTCGTCTGAATCACCAACGTGGATGGCGAAATACGGCGAGGGCGACAAGCGGTGGATCGTGGAGGACAGACCTGACGGCGCCAACGTCCACAATTGGCACTGGGCAGAGACCGACTGCCTTCCGTGGTCTCGAAATTTCTTCGATAAAGCACTATCCAATCTCACTGTCCTTGACGGCGAAGGTAACCTCTATATCAAGACTACGAAGGTGGACAAGGTCGACGGTGAGGCTTATGTTAATGTACGGAAGGGAAAGATCATACCTGGGTATGAAATTAGTGTTGTTTTGTCTTGGGAGGGAGAGGCCAAGGATGCAGAGGGGCAGAGCTTGTTGAAGGTGGAGGGGACGGTTGAGGTGCCGTATATAGCGGATGAGAATGCGGATGAAGATCCAGAACTCAGGGTGACTGTTAAGGACGAGGGTCCTGTCGGGAAACGGCTGAAGGATGCCATGGTTGCGAAAGGTAAGCCCTTGATTTTTCAGAAGGTAAGGGAGTATGTTGCAGCCATGGCAAAAGGGGGACCTGCAAAGGATGATTTGGAGGCAAAAAAGGTGGCACCAAAGAATGGTAATAACCAATCTGGGGGTACACCTTCGAAGGAGGTAGTGGTGGAGAAGGAAGTGAAGAAGGAGGTCAAGAAGGAGAAAAAGGGGTTTAAGACGATTACCTTGACGGAGAGGTTTAGTTGCCGTGCAAAGGATTTATATGAGATACTGATGGATGAGACTAGGTGGAAAGGGTTTACGCAGAGTAATGCAAGGATTAGTAAGGAGGTAGGTGGGCAATTTATGATTTTTGATGGATCAGTGACAGGAACAAACTTGGAGTTGCAAGATGGGAAGTTGATTGTGCAGAAGTGGAGGTTTGGGAGCTGGCCTGATGGGATTGACTCAACGGTAAGTTTGTTGATTTGTTTTTTATTGGTTTGAAGCTAAATTTGTTGCCAATGTTTCTGCTTCTGAGGTAGATTGAGATTATTGATCGATACATGTATCATATATTCATTGATTGTTGCAGGTAAGACTTACTTTTGATGAGCCTGAACCTGGAGTTACTGCTGTCAAGCTGACACATACTGATGTTCCTGAAGAGGACAGGTAAGTGTTTAGCCATGCTGTTTTGTTTGATTTTGATTTGCTTCTATTTTATCAGGTTTTATTTTCTGATTGTTAGGTTTTAGATTGCATCGGCTTATTAATGTTCACTCTCTTGATGCAGATATGGGAATGCAACTGTGGTGGAGAACACGGAGAGAGGATGGAGGGATCTTATTTTCCACAAGATACGGGCAGGCTTTGGTTTTGGAATATGATTTATTTTATTTCTAATCAAGGAACAATTTTTTTTTTTTTCTAGACTGTAGAATTTTATCAAGTTTTCTTTCTTTAAGACATTGTTGTCTAGAAAATATGTGCAATGTGAGTCTGCCTTTGTTGTCTGGGTCCTTTGGTCCATGTTTTTAAAACTTAAAGTTGGACTAAGTTGGACCTCTCTTACTCAGATATTTTACAATAACCAGCTTTTCTCTTAAACAAGGAAGGTTGACGTTGATGAATGTAATGTGTCTTAATTGGATCTTTTCTATTTTCATACTGGCATCAGACTCATGTCTTCTGGAGCTCTTAATCCATGTGGTAACTTCATCAGTCTATTTTCACATTCTGTGAGTTCAAATGTTGAACATTGTGTGCAATAATGTTGTATTTGAGTTGTATATTGCATTTTCATTGTCTTTATGTTTGGTGCTTGGACCCTGTATAGCCATTGTCTAGAGTAACTTATTTTTTATCTTGCATATCTGTAGGTAGGACCTTAGGAATTGTAGGAAAAACTCACCATGGCTTCACTTTGCAGAAAGGCATTGAAAAGTATTGTAATCAGTGAACCTCCAAGTTTGCTAATCTGCGATAGATGCCCAAGTACCCCACGTTTAGGATACATTGTAACCTGGTAACTTGGCTAATTCAATTTCAATGGAGTGGTTATGTCATAATCCAAATTGCGCCTTCCCTTAGGAAGGTCAAGATTAGACTACAACTTAAAACAATGCTAGTTTTAAATAAAAAGGAGCATTCACTTAAAAAGATTCAAGAAGATTTTTGCAGGGTAGAAAACAGAATCCATGTGGAGCTTTCTGTAGTTTATAGCCTGGGCTGTTATATTAAAGTTTACAATGTTGTAAATAGCTGTAGAAAAATCTTGTCAATGGCATAGGAAACTTGAACTTTAAAATATAGGTTTAAACAAGAAAATCACAGTTTAGTTCCAAGGTCTAGATTATACATATGGTCAGCAAATAAATTCTTCTTTCAGAAAGAAGGGTATAATAGTTTTACAAGTAACCCAAATAGGTTTTTAAAGGGCTTGGATCGAAGATAACAGTCTAGTGCAGATACAAGTTACCTTAACAAGCTTAAGCTTGTTCACAGCAGCAACCACAGAAAGCTCCTAAACTTCCAGAAATCCCAGTTGTACTCCACTCCTAGTACTTTTCTGAAATGGTTGGAAAAACAACCATGTGAGCTATGAAGCCCAATAAGTATAAGTTACAGCTTAGAGCCATGATAGAACTCCTAACCAATTTAAGAAGATCATTCGGTTAATCCATCATAAACTTGTAGTTATAACAGAGCACAAAACAGTAGGTTTAGCTGAATCAACCTGTCATCAATAATCAAAAGAACATTAAGCAGGGACTTATCAATAAAGCCATTGGCAAACAAGCACACTCAATTCATGCTTCAGTACTCAATGTCAAAAAGTATGTCTTATACCTTAACCTTGATGACAGAAAGTATTCAATGTATATGTGCTTAATACAAATACAATGTTATGGGGCCTACTAATCAACATGTGGTGCACTCACATTCGGCTAGAACTTGTCATGGCATGCCCAACTATGCGGTGGTCAATGACAATAACAATGGTTGCTCGCTTGAGCACAATAGTACCTAGCTTTTAGCATAAGAAAACAATGCAATGTAGATTGTAAGTGACAATGTTCCAATGCTCTCAATAGGATCTTATGCCTCATTGATCATAACTGACCATTTAATATCCTTTCATTATAACTCATGTCATTTTGATAGTAACCATTCAATAACCAAAAGATCAATAACATCTTTTAGGTATCAACATAGGATTACAGAATAGGCAGTCTATATTCATTCACCATAACCAGTGAACCTGACGTTCAGATATAATTGATATGCCTAGAATACTTAATGCAAAAATCTCCATGTCAATAAAACCAAGTGCAGGCTATAAATCTGGTTATTATAACTATTTCATCCCTTTATTACTTCTATACAATTTGACTCCCATCTTCATTTCAGTTGCAGCATAGTTATGATGTAGCCTATTAGCCTCTACAAGTTTATTTACCGGTTTATTATATACTTGCTATCTTTAGCAACAGCCAGCATTAAACTCCATCTATTATGTGTACAAGTCATATGCATTCTCAAATACAATAAGTAATTGATTCTAATCCTTAATTAATCCCCAATTGTATGTCAAAAACCCATCACTAATAAGCTATGTACAGTATTGCAACCCACTCAAACTAGTATTAGCTTAGTTCTAGAGTCATTTTAAACCATGCAATTACCATCTTACATCCAATTATGCTACAAAAGCAGTAACTTGTACTTACCACACGAAACCCATTACTGTATTGGGCGGAACTTCCTTGGATTTCCTTCGGGTTCTTCACTGGTTGATCAACAGTTCCTTAACCGTTACTCTCTCTGGGTCAGCTCATAAGCACAAACATGTGCTGGTTGCTAAGCTCAAAACACTGTAAAAAGATGAGAACAGAAACTACCCTCCGCAAACCTTTCTTCCTCTCCCTCTCTCTCGGTTGTAAAAAGGAATAAGAAAGTAAAAGAGCCTTGAAATGTTTATATCAAAACATGCATGCATAAGACCATGGGTTTTTGCTAATGGTTTTACACTAGCTCTCACACCACCTGTCTTGTGCATAAGATAAGTGTAAGCTGACAAGCTGGTGCTTGTCAATCAAACTCCACTAAGCAAGTTTTAAGAAATTGGCCATGCTAACACCAACTTCTCCTTTCTTACCATCAAGTCCCTCCAATTGAGGACTAATGGGTTTTATTCTATGCATCTAAGGACAGGTTATGACAGGTTAGATGATTGTTATATTTACTAGATGTTTTGTTAATATGGTTATGCTTCTATTTCCAAATGCCAAGTTCGCAGTTGATCTATGGGTTCTTTCTATAAGTAATTGATGTTAATTACTTAGTTTAGGTGATCAATGGCCAGTGCTTCTTCTGTTGGGAGCTATGAATTTTCATTTAGGAAGGCGAGTTTTGAACTGCAGTCGCTAGATTGTTAGATGCTTTAATGAATTAATAGCTCTTAGTTCTTCCCCAATGTTTGTAATTATAAGCATGCTGTGGTGGCATAGTAGTAATCATAAGCCTAACTGGTGGATGTTTCCTCTATATTACCTGTCTAATTTTATTTTTATGGATTGAGTGCACATAGCGAGGTAAGCGATGTTCTTGTTGCAACTGTTGTAGGACTAGAATGAAGGAAACTGCTGTGGCCATTCAATTCAAGTTCTGTGAAATATGATTTCTATCTAAGTGCAAAGTTGGAAGGAACTTCTTGTTAAACTTGACAGAATCATGTCAATGTTGAAGTAGTAGTATATAAAGGCTTGCTTGCTTTTTATTTTTGTATTTTTGAGAAGGGATGAAATAAGCTCCTAGAAGTAGATGAAATAATGTTGGAGTGATTATGTCATTCTCCACTCCTTCACTAATGGCTTGTGCTCATTGATGAGGGGTTGGTTGGGACAAGATGAAAAATACATTGCACTTTTGGCTTTAGTAACAGAAACTAGAATCAACTATATATTGTTGTGATGGTCAGCAAGATGCACTACAAAAGGGCACCTTCTGCCAACAGGCGACAGAGAATGATAATTGAATTCATGTTGATATAGGGTAGAGTTTTCTATGTACCACCTACCCTCTGTGCTCTTTTCCTTGGTTCTGTGATTTGCATTTCTTTCCTTTAACATTGTATCCATTAATTTCAAACAAAAAAGATAATAAGGATCCTTCGGGGAAAAAAATTCGTCACCTGAGAGATTCAAACTCTTGCAGCGAAACCCCATGTACTTAGCAGACACACGCCTTAACCACTTGGGCAAAGTTCTAAATTCCTGAATGAGGGCCTTTTATATCTTAGTTAAGGATTGTTGTAGCAGAAACAGAGCAATATTACTCCAATGCAAATGGACCTCTTCCTCTGTAAGCCTATACAAATTGGTCCATTTCACATTGGAAGTGAGCACAATGACATCATGTAAACTATAAGGGAAGCTAATTCTTTAAACATGAAAAATCAAGATGAAGAGAAAAAGATACAACAATACATAAATCATAAAAACTTCTTTATCATTTCCCTCACTTCTTCAATCACAAGCCATGCCTTGTGCCCTCCAATCACTTCTTCCTTCATCTCTCCATCTTTCCATAACTGCAATAAATTTCTCCATATTACTCTTACAATTTTTGCAGAACAAAACCCAAAGGATTCAATACGTCTGTGAACTCACCTGAATTGTTGGCATTTTCTGCTCAAGGAGACCCAGAAAACATCATTCACAAGGAAGAAAAACAAAAAATCAATGTCAAGTATTCATCCAAAAGAAAAAATAAAAAAGGGATAAAAGTGCAAATCATACATACTGTGATGTTTCCTCTTTTCACCAGAGCTTGAGGGACCTTGTTGACATCCACATAATAAAATTTGATTCTGATACACATAAGATGTAAAATAGTAAGTACCTAAGATTAGAAAATGCATAATTCAATGTCTTTTTTCATGGCATCCTTCATAATTAGAGGGGAGGGGATTACTTTGTATCAAACTCAGCTGCTAATTTCTCCATCATTGGCTTCAAATATATGCATTTCCGGCACCAAGAAGCCATCCTATCACCAATTCATAACCCACAAACCTCAGTTTTACAATCCAAAACAAGTTCAACAAATCCCAAATAAGAAAAATCTTCCTAATCAAGAGACTATACTAACTGTTGGAAGATAGAAGAAGGCCAAATACATATGCTAATTATGTCTTATTCTCATTTCGCATCATATATGTGCTCACCAGCACATGCAAACCCCTAACACCAACTGCTCAGTTGACCCTACTTCTAAAAATTCTTCTCTGAGTAGAAGTTGGATCAGACATAGTTTACTTAAAAGCCCTCTTCCCTTTTCTAAAAGCTGATTCCATGCTTTCAAACAGTTAGAAAATTTAGGCAGTGTTCGGATTAGCTGTTACAGAAAAACTAATATCATGATAGTTGATAGCCATTGGTTGTTGATTGATGGTTGTTATCCATGATACCAACACCCCTATTCCTTCAATTAGAAGACACAACTATCAGATAAATATTCGTTTTCAAAAATATGTTTTGCAATCTGAACTGCAAAACATTAACCATTGCATGATATGTGCGGACCACCTCATCCAATGGTCGATATTTTGCATTCTGACTACAAAACAAATTCTATTCTATTCGTCTAGTTAAACCAAACAGGGCAATAATTTTTGAACTAAGAACTTCTGCGGCTAAATTTTTTAAAGTATCTCAAAGTTCATCAATCATATGATTCAGGACCCGTACAAAAACTAAAAAAACAGCATTTTCTACAAGAACAGCTCTAATTTGGAACAAATTAATGACTCTAATAGTAGACAGAGAAGAGAGAACCAATCAATGAGAATTGGCTGTGAGAGCTCCTTTGCACGGAGAAGAATCTGATCAAGGTGGTCACAATCATTGATGGGTTCCATCTCCACAACTGTTGGTCTTGAAAAATCCGGCCAGAAAGCTTCCACCCTCAAGTCCCTCCTCGAAATCTTTTTCCAACTTCTGTTCCTACAATCAAACTGGAAACACCCAGCAGTTTTTTGCAATGAAAAACAGCTACTGTTGCTCCAAGACTGATGATGTTGGTAGTCTCTTTTACACACTTCTGTGAACAGAATTTGGGGATTTGCTGCCAGTATTGACATTCTTCCTCCTATATCTGCAATCAAAGTTGGTCGAAAAGAAAGGTAATTGGGTATTTAAGCAAAAGGGTTGAAGAAGATCATGGCTTTTCTAGGAGGGGAAATGGGAATTGAGACTGTTATAGTTCTGCAGGGGAAGCTTATCCGGAAGGTAAGGGAGGGAGAAGAGGATGTTGGATTGTGGGTCTATCTTGTTCAATTTTTGTGATATTTTGTTTTGTTTTTTGTGTCAATTGATACTTTTCCCGACGGCTGGCCAATCATAGGAAAATGTAAATTGCAAAAAGGCCCACTGGGTTTTACCATTCACCTCAAAATAAATTTTATGTTATTAATAGTTTAAATAGTTTAATAATAATATTTTTTAATAAAAATAAAATATCTTTCAATTTAAGTTGCAGATATGAAAGTGGGTAAAGGAATGAATGCAGTCCATAAATCAAAATAATAATAAATAGTTTAATTATTAATCACTTAATTTCAAATAAAAATTATTAAATAATCAAATAATTATTATAATCAACTTTCTTATTTTTTTAATATGTAAAACACTACTAAAAAAATAGAAGCTCTAGACTTGCATACTCCTAAAAATCGTTAGTAAGGCTTATTCGAACTTCATCTAGAGGTTCCTCAAAAATAGTGGAGTCCTTCCTGTTGATGCTAAGACTTATTTGAACTTCATCTGTTGGTTACTCAAAGTAGTGGAGTTTTTCCAGGAGGTCGTACAAGCAAGAGGTCATGTTATATACATTGCATAGCTCACATCCAAGTCAACATCTTTATATGCCACCCATGCTAACCCATTTTTAACACCAAAGATACAAGTAAAGTTACTTTGAAAGGTAGATTTGCTTGAGAATGGTAAAATGGTCCAACTGGTACAGTGAAAAACTGGAAGGACTTATTTATATATTTTCGAAAAGCCTAAACTGACTGTGGCCAAACTGAATAGGAATATTTGAAGGATCCCTCAATCCAAACTACAGCAGGTAAGTAACAAGTTTCAATTTGATTCAGGTTGGAATTTACCATTTTGTTTGCTTCCTGAGTTGCAAGGTCTTGGATAGTTGTAGATTCTGGATCATATTTTTTTTAACTTTTTATCTTTTTCTTGCATATTAGTGGTTTATTTGTTTTATCGCATTGCGAAATTCCTTCGGCATGGAATTTCTCTCGTGTTCATGGGGTTTGATGATGATCTCTGTATTCCTAGACCACATATATGATTGCTGTTTGTTAATCCATTTCATGGTGACTGGTAGGTATTCTACTTAGCTATGTGTATTGATTTCTATGATGTTACATATAGGTTTATTTGGTTTAATTTTAATTGCTCCTTTGACCTGCTAGCTATCATGCCTTACCTCTTGATTTCAGGTTGATGCGCAGTTTAATCAGTTTTGAAATAATCTCTCTGTGATTTCTTGATCCTAAATTATTCATTTACGTGAGTCATATCAGTTTTATTAAAGACATTTTCTCAAACAGTACAAATTACCAATGTGTTTACAATATTATAGTGTGATAGCATAAGAGTTTCATCACATAACTAATAAGATTTTATTTGTTTTTCCAGAAAGCAGCAAAACATGCAAGTGCAAAAAATTTCTTACAAAATAACATATTTAGGACCATAATAATCCAGTCCAAAGTCATTTTCATGGATATGCCTGGCTATGACAGGAGAGGTTTTGGATTTTATTAAAGATTCAAAAAAAAATCACTTTCTTTTTCCAAAATGGGGGTGTCACATGTGAAACAGTCTTATCTGCTCCAAATAGTCTTAGTTGCCAAAAAGAGGAGGGAGAATGCATGTGTAACGAGATGTAAAAATAAAGGAGTAAGAAAGAGTGACAGAAAGGAAACAGAACCAAGTGAAAGTTTGGTGAGAACTTGATGTTTGTCCAGTCCACAAAATGGTGACTGTGTGTTGGTAATGTGAGGAGAACTAGGAGGATAATGTGGACTGTCTTTTCGTAATGGAAAAGGAAGATAAGGTGCAGATATCATGGAATTATCGCACTTGGACTGTCTTTTGAGTTTCAAAATTTGTCAAGGTTCAAATGGAAAAGTTGTTTCTCAACACTCCCTTTGTGGTCTTCTAGCGATTTATAAGATTCTGAATAATGAAATTATTGTCATATATTTTTAATGTTAGTAAAACTCTTATTTGATTAGACCATGGGAATGATATGCTTAGCAATGTATATATAAATTTGAGTGTTAGATTTTCAACCATGCCTTTTCATGTGTATATTTATGGCAATTTCATCAGCATCCTGGTGTTATGAAATGCTCGTATCATGCTAAAAGTGCTTCCACATGGTCAAAATTGTGCTTATGTTCAGTGAGTGTGTTGTAGAAAAAATTAGACGACATTTCATGGGAGTAGTTACATGCCCTGTTGAGTAAATGTGAGTTATAGCTAGTTAGATTCTGATCCATGTGAAACCTTGGAATGGTATTTACATTGATTGAGTTTATGGCAATATTTGGTCAAGAAAGATTGCAGATTGCAATTTGGATTCAAAGTTCTCTAGGGCTATCAGAGTATTATAGAAAAGCTGACGAGAGATGATCATTGACTGCAACTTTGTCGCACTTGATATATAAAAAATGTGAAGTTTCATGGAACAGATGAGTATAATGAGAGCTTTAAGAGGTTCAAGGAGATATTGCTTACTGCTTTGTTAATATCCCACTTCCACTCGTAGAAGAGGCTTCACAATTTGCGGTGATACCTATCCCCAAAGTGTTAACAAAATGTTTTAAGTAAAATGGGAATGTACTAGCTTAATGAGAATGCAGAATTAACTAGTTAAGTATGATTAGGGAGCACTGGTAGCTGTCATTTTGGTTAGCCTTAGTATTGGTTAGATCACCACATCATCTTGAAGCCTGAGGACCAAGGTAGAGCCTAAACTTACAGATTAAAAAGGATATTCATGAGATTTTTCTCTGGATTTTATGAGGCACATATCCCAAGTCAAAACAGAAAAGAACAGCCTAAACATCAGTCCCACAGAACTCCATTCACAGGATTGAACATTCAATAGTAACAATTTTCTTTTGTCCAGGTTTACTCTTATATATAGTTCATGAGGATTTAAGGCAATGGATGAAGATAGCAATTTTGGGCTTTCATGTTGGATGTTTGATGTGTTAGCAACTTAAGGCCGTCTGAATTAATGACTAACAGGATAATTTTAGTCAAAGTCAGAACCTGCGACTAGAGAATCTGTATTTGTATCCAGTTTTATTTGAACTAAGGCAATCCACATCCACAGTAGGCTAGTGAAATAGTATGCTGATTAGAGAGAGTGTAGAGTCGTTAAGTTCATATGTTCTACAAAATCTAACTAAAGTTCAATTCCCTTTCCCAGGCCTAGTATCTAGAAGGTTTTGGTTTCCTTTTAATTATTAGTTTTTGATGAATAGAAGGTTTTGGTTCTAATCAATCACAAGTTAACATCCATAGGCAGATAACTAAAATGACATTCAGACCTTTGGAGGATATATCAAGATTCCGTTGCCTTATAGTGGCAGTTTGGAACTTGCATAAACTCTAGATAGGTGAGTTTTGATTTGGATTTCATTATTAAAACACTTCACAGAATCACAGTGGGCATTGTGTGGATAACTAGTCTGTTGAGAGCTTGCATCTTTAATTTTAGATATATAGTTTTCTGTTTGGAAATCTAACGTGCCGATTGGAGGACATTTTAGGAAGGAGCCTGTGTCCTGGATATTGAGGGGTAGTTTAGGTTCATTCTCATTTCTCATTCACTGGCTCACCTGGGAGAACCAAGGTCCCAATTGAGTCTTAGTATTGCTTCCCTCAGGGCACTTCATTCTTGGCATTTGTAGATCTTAGTGTGTTCGAATAGAGTTGGAAATGAGGAAGTTGATAGGTCCTAAAATAAGAGAAACCTGAAATTGCTGTAATCTGTCTCATAAAAGCCACTCAAGTACAGTTGTATGGTGCTTTACATATCATCTCTAAAATTTGAGGGGAGGACTTTAGGACTGGAAGACTTTAGGACTGGGAGCACTTTAGGACCGGAAGCACTTTTTGAGCATTTCATACATATCATCTTGCATGAAGAAATTGACATTGATATGCAGATGCAAAAAATCATTGTTGGAGCATTTGACATTAATATTTATCTTCATATCTAAGCAAATCATTAATTTTTAATGGTTAATTCAAATGAAAGTTTTTTGACATAAAAATTTTTTTAAAATTATTTCATTATTCTGGAATCTAAAGAGGCAAAGGCAAAAGAGAGGGTGGAGGAAACCGAGGAATAATGTTTTCTACGCGAACCTTGACAAATTTTAATTTAATGTGAATGAGACTATTGAGGCCAAATAGCCCAAGTGAGATAATCCCATAATATCTCTGCTTTATATTCCTTTTTCCATTGCAGAACAAATTTAGTCCATTTTTCTGTTCCTTCTCCTCGCATGCCACCACTCTCCTTTTGCACTGACCCCTCTTTTTCCACCTTGCTTCATGAGTTTGTGTTAAAAGTTGTCTCTCTTTCTTACTCTTTAATTTTAACATCTCTTCGTATATGCTATAGTTCCCCCTTCTAAGCAACAAAGACAAGTTTGGTTTAGTTAGATTCTTTCAAATTTGACCCAATCCTAAGAAGGAACAAAAAGAGATTTCATATTGAATTTTAGTAAAATCTTTGTACCTTTTCTCTCTTAGCAAGTTATATTCATGCAAATAAGTTTGGACTGAACAATGATTATAATGGTCCTAGATAATTATTTGGTCTAGAAATTTTACCACTCTTGCATCTTTATGCTTTCTTGGAAAACAAATTAAAACCTTGTTTTGCAGGATGAAGATGATGAAGAATTCTGAGACTTAACCGGCATGTTAAAAAGGGCTTGGAAGAACACAGGCATTCAATCCCAATGGCTGCAGCACACTTGTAATCTACATTGTGACAATGAAGCGGTTGAACTTTCTTTCTTGCAAAACATTCCATTTTGTGACTAAGGTGAGCCACAAAATAACATTTGGGACCTTATTTTGAGCTACATGTTTCCTTTTATATTTGGAATTCCATGAGACAAAATGATGAATGCAGAAGAAAAGCAGCATCATTAAAAAGCAAAGGCAAAGCCTCCCCTTTCCTTCTTTGACTTGAAATGTCAAAGAGTTTGTTGCTCAAGTGCTCTTTATGTCTTATTTGGTGGTCTTGGTCACACAAGGAGAATATTTTCAAGAAAAGTAAGTCTCCTACTCTTTTAACAAATCTAGTGTGTCTTAAAGTATGCATGTTGTTTTTTTTCCACTTTAATTATTAGACTGAAAATTTTTACTATAATTACTAGATGAAGACTTCATTAATCACTATTTATCAATGATTATTGATTATTTAATATAAGCATCTATAACTTTTTATAATTTGAAAAGAAAAAACATTTCACACTTTAATCACTAAATTAAGACTTCATTAATTAACCACTATCTATAAATGATTGTGATTTATTTAATACAAATAGCTATGACTTTTTATAATTCAAAAAGAAAAAGTAGAGAAATAATAACTCCTTTATCTGTTATGTTCTGTAAGTGATCGATCCATAACATGCCTCTTCATTATTATTACCCTTTTGCAGCCTGAACCGCCCATCCCATTAATTTTTCTAAAACTCTAACTAGACCCATTTTATGTTGTCGTCTTTGTGGTAAAATGGTAGGGTTTGGATCTAATAGCCTTTTTCCAAATCTAAAGTTGAGACACACTACGAATATTATAAATTTGCACAATCATTATGATCTATAAACCTCAAAATAATTATTATAGGGTCTCCTAAGAAAGAGACAGCAGGGTTAAATTCCTTGGAAATAATTTTCCAACTTAAGAAGCAAAAAAGAACGGATGGAAGATGATGGGCTTTAATTCCTGCGAAAGAGACAGCAGGGTTAAAATATCTTGGTAATAAGTTTCCAACTTAAGAAGCAAAAAAGGAACGGATGGAAGATGATGAGCTTTAATCCCTTCGTCATGTGAAGGTGGTTGGGGGAATGCTTTATGCTTTTTTTTTTTGGGGGCAAGTGTCAAGCTTTGTGTTTTAATTTAGTTGTTTCTTCTTCCTCTTCTTCTTTTTTTTTTTTTTTTTTTTTGACAAGGTAATAGTTAGAAATTAGGAACCTTACCCATTGATAAAATTTGATCATTGATTGGGGTGTATTTCACTAACAATTTTTTTGAGCTGCAATAGCATTACTGAGCCACAACAGAGAAATGCGTTGTTTCTTCTTATTTGTATAAGACATTAACTATTATTATTCTAATTTTATCTTTATTACTTTAGTCAACTTAAAAAAAAAAAAAACTTTTATTTGAAATATGTGTTATTTTATCTAATTATGGTATTTTAATTCATTATTAAATTATTCAAAATATGTATAAAATAAAAAAGTGAGACAGCTAAAATGAAATGAAAAGAGTAGTTCAATCATGCAGGGAAGGGATCACAGGATGGAACCTTCGAGACTGAGTGGTGGGTAAGCATGTTAGACACCAAAATTGCACCACATGATCTGCAGCCTTTCCTCAAGGCTTCCTTCATCTTTAATTACTTCCATCTGTGAGCCCACTCTCTGCTGTTGCTTTGCATTTTGGACATTTCTCTGTCACAAAATACTCATGTCCACACATGGTTTCTACCTTGTCCTTCCAGCTGTTTGTTTCCTTACATCATTACCAGTTTTTCTTTATTTTCAGAAATTAATACAAAAATACAAAAGAAAAAGACTTATTAGACCTTTGTGCTCTCGTAACATCTACATTTTTTTTTAATCTAAAATTAGGTAATGGGAGGCAGAATCTCTCCATTTTTAATTTACCTGATTTATATTTTATATAATTTAAATTTAAGATTTTTTATTAAAAAATTATTATTAAATTACTTAAACAATTGACTTTACATTTAAAAAATTGATCGAGAATCAGAGTTTAAAATTCTACTTGCATGCTTAACCTAGACGTTTACTATATCATTCGTGTTTGAGTTGATTTTTCAATGTAAAATTGAGGTACCACGATTTTGTAACAATTTTGGAAGGGGAAAAGAAGTGACTAGGTCAAGAGCACTCTTGGAGTGGTCATGGCCCTTGGACTAGTGTTATTAATTATCACCAAATTGCTTGGTTATTACCGAAGTCATTGTAAAACCTATGACACATTGATTATGGCTACAAGAATTTTTTATTGTCACCTAACCTAAGTTTTTTTTTTCTTTTCTTTTCTTTTTATTGACCTTTATTTTAATGTAATTACTATGTAAATAGTTTTAATTTATTAATTAAAAAAATTAAAATCAATATTTATAATTTTTATACAAATTCATTATAAAAAGATACAATAAAAACACTTT